AACAGCTGTCACTGTGACCTCCGCCAGCCATGAAGGTGTTCTTGCTGTTACATGCCTTCTTGCTTGGCAATGCGGTCCTTCTTGAGTGGTCCCATGAACGTCTTATTCTCCTGCATGGTCTGGAAGTAGCCATGGCCGAACCTGGAGGTGGTGTCAGAGAACTTGAGGTCAGTCTTCTCTAGAGCCCGCCATTTGGTCTGCACCAGCAAAGACTTGAAGAGGGTTAGCACCTGCTTCTTGGTCCCTACCATACATCCTTTCAGCATGACAAAGTCACTGGTCACTTCACCATAGTGGACAAAGCCACCCAGAGGGTTGATGCTCTTGTCAGACAGGTCATATTCAGTGGAGGCATTGTTCTTGATCAGATTGCCATCCTTGATGAGGTAGCTCTGACCAATCCTATAGATTTTCTTGTTTATCTCTATACAGTGATGGTAGCCCTTTTGCCCAGCACGGGCCATGGAGAAGGCCACATGGGCAGGGTGCACTCAAATACAAGCAACCTTACACAGCCCTCTGTGGGTCTTGCGGAGTAGCTTCTTGGGGTGCCAGAGACTGGTGACCCCTTTGTAGCCTTTGCCCTTTGTCACCCCAATGACATCAATCATCTCATCCTGTCCAAACACCTGGCTCACAGGGATCTGCTGCTCCAGCCTCTCCTGGCCCAGGCCAGCTTCTCAGCCACAGTGCTGCCATTTACTTGAATCTCCATGAGGTAGGTCTTTTTCTGCCAGAACAGGAGCAGGTACATCTGGTTGTGGGAAATTATGAGGATGACCTGGCAGTACTTCCTCATGCTGCTAAAGTCCTTGTCCAGCTGCTTCTTGCCCATGTCATCCTGCCATTTCTTGCAGTACTCAGTGAAGGCCTTCTTAGATTTATGCCAGTTCTTATAGAAGCGTCTTTTGCACTCATCACTAATATGTTCTGCCAAGACTGTGTTGAAGATTTGGAGGCCTTGAGGAGTTTCCACATAGGCCACACCCATAGGTGGTGTCTCCACGATAGCTCCAGCCTCTACTTCCTTCTTGCTCACCTTGGATCCTGGCCTGTCCAATTTGTATATTTCAAACATACAGAGCTAGTGCTCTTTCTAGAAAGGAGAAAAGGGAGGATAAAACTAAAACAAGAGTGAAGAGAAGTAGCACAAACTTTAAAGGTTGTAGTACTAAAGATCTCCAATGTGAGCTCCGAGGGTCTCAGGCAGCCCTACCATATGGCCTTGTCAGTTGCAGCCTACATGTTTCTCTCTTGGGCTGGCTCCAACCACTGCCTGTAACTTCCCTCAGCAGATTGTTCACATTGCTGGCATCTCCAACTTCCTTGGTGTCCATTGTAGTTTTTTTGCTTCACTTTCACGGTTTTATGCATTGCCCTCTTAGGGGCTCCTTCCCTGCCCTCTCAAGGCATTAACTAGCAATTTTATTGGACTAGTTCCTGATCCCACAACTTTTGCATTTTGTATTTCTGTAGAACATAGAGGAGGTCAATGTCTACCTCCCACTCAAGCAATAGCTGGACCCCCTTGGACCATAGCTGCAGAGGCCTTTCAGTATCTGGACAGCTAGAATCTGGGAAATAGCCTGAATGAGCTGAGCTCCCTAGGGCTCTCTTCCCAAAGAAAAGTGTTTCCCTTTCGTACCCTTGAATCTGTGAAAAGTGGGATTTGGGGAATTCCAATGTGACTTCAAGCCATCTTTTTGATTGTCCTAATGCATAGTAACTGGCTTGTTTTTGCTGCTAACATTTTCAGCAACAAAAAATTCTCCTTTGCCCTCAACTTTACAGGCACTTCTTCTCCAGTAAAATAACACCTTTTTTACATCTAATTATTGCCCCTGCTTCTCACTGTAGATTTATACAAAAGCAGGAACACTAGCCACAGCATAGCTTGAAATCTCCTCTACCAGATCAATGAGACCACTCTTTAAAAAAAAAGGATTTATTTATTTGATACAGGGTCTCACTGCACAGCTTAGACTCATAGTGATCCTCCTCTCTCAGCCTCCCCAATCCTGGGATTAAGGTATGTGCCACCATGTCCAGTTTTGGTGGCTGGCATGGCATGGGGCCAGCACTGCATGTGATACAGTGGATTGAGCCCAGATCCTTGTGCCTGCCAGGCAGGCATTTAGACCATCAAGCTTCTCCCTGGCCCTGAGTCCACTGCTCTTAGTCTCAGTTTTCTGCAATGTCTGAGAACATGGACAATACAGACCATTTTATGGTTTTTGTTTTGTTTTGTTTGTATTTTAAGGAAGGGTCTACAGGATGTTCATGTTCTCATTACTAGATTGACTCATAGTGATCCACCTGTTTACAACCTCCCAAGAGCTGGGATTACCCATGCACTTCACCATGCCCAGTCTCAATTGCAGTCTCAGTGTGCCCAGGGGGCAGGGCCAGCATAGCAGGCCTGGGGATCAAACCCCCAATACAGACCATTTTAGATCTAAACCATAATAGCTCCCCTCCATAGCATGTGGTAGAAAAAAGTGGTGTGTGATTCTGAGTTTGGATTTCAAAAGGCCATTAACAACTTTGTATTTTCATTGGATCCCATCACTGACACATGAAAAGGCCACAGTTAGTTTTCTGCAGAATGTGAAATCAGATAAAGCAGAGTCAAGGTCAGTCTAATTGTTCCAGACACATGAAAGAGCAAGCCAGGAGCAGCCACCAGCCAGCTTATAGCTTATAGCAGCTGCATGAATGAACCCAAATGAGATCATCCAAGCCAAGCTCAGATCAGCCAAGCCTCCTCTATATGCACAGGCTCCAAATCAATTGTAAGTAGTGGCTATGTTCTCTAAGTTTTGCTATTTGTGACGCAGCAGTAGATAATACAAAGTGCAGTGGGATCAAAAAAAGGGGACATATAGAAGCTTGTATGGATCAAGCAAGACTTCCTGGAGCAAAGATATATACAGGGGTTAAATAAGAAATAAGTGTAAGAGTTAGACATAAATACATAGGGGTTAGCCATGGAAAGAAGAGAACTGGGGAATAGTTGTACATGAAGCTTGCTGTGTGGTTTTGGACAAGGCATTCAAGAGAAAGGGAAATAAAAAGAAAAGGTCAGGGGAATAGGGATAGCTCAGCAGTCTCAGCATGTGCCTGTAAGCATAAAAGGACCCAAGTTTGATCCCTGGTACCACATGCTGTGCTGGCTCCAAAATCGGGTGTGGTGGTTCGTGCCTGTAATCTAGTGCTGGGGAGGCTGAGTCAGGAGGATCACTATGAATCTAAGCTGTGTAGTGAGACCCTGTACCAAAACATGAATAAATAAAATTTTTATAAATGTCTAAATAATTGAGAAAATAGTAATGTACAAGGCCGTAAAGTAAGATAGTCCATAACACTAAAGTGTGAAGTATGAGGCATAGAAAGACATTGAACTGGAAAGCTATGGAGGAAGCACTTCACATGGCATCTCAAACATTTACAAAACAGTTTAGATCTTATCCTGAGAAGAGTTGGGATCAGTCAAAGTCTTCTAGTTCCTTCTTTCTTTGTATTATCAGTGTAGCTTCTGTATGGGGGAGGGCTCAATTTGCAATTGTTTAGGAGGCCCTTGTCAGGTGGGTGAAGAGGGTAGGAGAATAGGAGAGCATTAGTCAACCCTCTTGTTGCTGAGACCCAGTACCCAACAGCCGCAGTTTCGGAGGCAGGGGGTGGGCTTAATTTGGCTCATGATCACAGAGGATTCAGTTCATGGTCACCTGGTTGCCAACCCAAAAGCATGCGAAAAAGGGCATGAGGGAGCAAAGCCACTCAGTGTTCTGTGAGCAGGAAGGACAGCAAGATCTCGCCTCCATGACCCACCCCCACACACACTCAGGTATGAACCTTATCAGTTTTAGGGGTTTAATAATCTGATGAAGTAGGTAAATCAGGATTAGCTTCCGGGGGGGGGGGGCAAAAAAGCAATTGCTCTGAAGTGGTGACTTATGGGAAAAGGGCAGAGAGAGAATGAGGTGCCTTGACTGGTGTTTTGTCCTAGGGAACTGGGTCAATACTAGTTGCATTCGCTGATGGAACAGTGAACAATATAAAGGAGACACAGCAGCTCTGAGGGTAATACAATTTCAGTTTGGGAAGCTTCTTGTACTTTTCAAAGTTAGCCATATTTAAATATCAAACATTGATAATTATTTCAATGCTTATGCTTTTCATCAGAGATCAATATTGCCCCAGGCAAGATGGAGTCTATGTTTGTTCCTTTACCTAGAATCTAAGAAGGGGTTTGTGTTAGCACTAAGAAAAAGAAAGTCATAATAGACATGTACAACTTCAAGACCTGGTCCTAATAGTGTTGACACTATGTGGCTATCACAAGAGGCTCAGCTTTGGAATCCAACTACCATTTTGTAAGAAATTCCAGGCCACACAGCGAGGGAATTTCCAGCATTCCAGCCCAGAGCAACAGCTAGTCTTCCCAAGCCTTGGAAGTTTCTAGTTGAGGGTGCAGAGAAAGCCATCTCTGCTGTGCCCTGTCTGAATTCTTCGTCTCCAAAAGCTGGCAGCCATAAGAGAGCCTCTTGTTGTTTAGAGCCATTCGATTTTGGAGTAACTTACCACCTAGCAATAGATAACTACCGCGTTGCATTTGGGGTACCCCTGGGACAATCGCATAGAACTTACTTGTGCATCCTTTATCAATGTTGCAGGTGATCTGTTTTGTAAGGAAACTTACATCAAGTGCTGTGTGAGTTCTTGTCATTTCCGCCATTTGTCAAGAAAAAACATTTTTGCCTGGTTTGTCTTCCTTAGCTTGGCAAACAAGGCAGAAGGGAAGAGAAAGAGAGAAAGGAAGGAAAGAAACTGGGATTTGAGTTTTGGAAGCAGCACAAGTTCAGGGGCACTCCTGCATGGAGCGAGGCAACAGCAGTGACAATCATCGCCCTGGCACAAGCTTTGCAGGCCTCCAAGCCTATCCTCCCAGTACCTGCCCCATCCAGAGAAGGTTGGCTTAGGCACCAAAGAATAGCATCTGGGTGTGTTAAGAAATTTTTATTGTTTCCTTTGGATTTGTGATGAAAGCACATAAAATTACAAGTGGAAGAAACATCATGCCACAAAATTGCATAGAATTATTACAAAAATGTGAATTATGCATTTTAAATAATTCCAGAGAGAACAACCAAAATATGTACATTTCAGAGCTTCATACAACCATGTCCTACTGTTTTTTTTCTTCTTAAAAGGCAAAAGTCACAATGTCGAATCCATCACGAACAATAATAGTACAGTGCACAAGCACAACATTAAATTCAAAGAAATGCAAGCAATGGCCCTTTCTTTTGGAATTATTTAATGACTGTTTATCTACTACAGGAGTATTAATTAATGTGTGGTAGTAATGAAGTATTAAAATGAAATATTAAAAACTAAAACACATGGCATATCATTAGATTTTTGAAAATTGGGTTACACTGCCCAAACCACGCTATTCTCAGTAGTGTAAAGGTGTCAGGGACACAGTCTAATTTATTACACAACTCTACTTTCTATTTTAGGAAAACACACAGTACAGAATTTCACACATTCAACAAAGAACAAGGCAAATACATAAAGGCACAAAACTGCACATCATAGAGACCCTTTTCTTTATCTTTGTCTATTTTCAAGTAGGATTAGTATTATAAATGCTAGTATCACTGTAGTAGTTTCAATAGTGTAAGATGCACAGTGTTGCACGCTACCCCACAACTGCAAAAAGTGTCATTGTACAGATATAAAAATGTGATTACAGTAAATGGCCAAATACAAATGCATTGTAAAATGCCTAGAATCACTAAGATAATGAAACCCAACTACCAAAACAGTTTAGCCTAAATCAAAGTTATTCAACCTTAGTCTATCTCTGGACTAAAATGTGACAATACTCTGGAATAGTTACTATTATGTTTGGTTATGAATGCTTTTAGTTCATTCTTCTGCAATTTTAGACACTCTGTAATTTTGCTTATAAAAATGCAGCATTCGGTTTTGACCATCCTTGCTTCTTTATGCTTAATGCCTTCCTTCAAAGTGCGAAAGTAGAACAATTTACAAAAGATTTCCCTTTCTGTGGAAATTCAATTTTTATTAAGTATCTAATTAACACTCTAAATTCTTCAGATCAAAATATAATCATCTCAAAGAAGAGGTGATTTTCCCCTTGTGTCACAATAGATTTTTTTTTTTAATCAAACACTCTAATGTTTGAAATAAGCCTTCATTTTGATTAAAACTTAATTATAATTCCTAGTTATTGCTTAAAGTTAAATAAAATAATTTCCATAAAAATATTAAATTCTTGAAACACAATTTTCAGGACATGACTCATTTTTGCATTATAAAATGTTTTGCTAAGCTATGGACAGGATTACTTTAAACTAAAATAAAGCTGTAGCCTCTTGCTTCTGGACTTTATCTTCAATGTTCTTTATTTCATTCTCTAACTTATATTTTTTATGATTATTCTTTCTACTTAAGATCTTTCAGTAATAGTTTTGATCAGTTATACCATGATATAATTCTTCTTATGCCACTTAAAATAAGAACTTAATAACACACAATCAGATGTATATACTAAATGTATAATGTGAGGTTTTTTAAATGTTAGCATGACAGAAATCACTGAGATTTAAAAATTATGGAAGATATCAATAAATTTTTCCATCTCTCTCCTATACATTTTGTATATTCTGATCATTTAAACAAGCTTAACATCTAATTTTTGTTCCTGCAAAAAATTTATCAGATTCGTATTCTAAATCCTAAGTCTACATCAACACTTCATCAAATTTTAAAATTTACTTTCATATGTTTTAATATCCATGTAATCCAGATGCTTGACCCCTTTGTTCCCACCTATCCTTTAATTTGCTTTTTAAGTTGTGTGGAAGATATTTGGGTCATTGCCAATTAATAAATACACATCAACATGCATGCTGCACACGCACATGCCTGTGTATATCCACTTATACATACATATATACATGGAGATAATATATATCATTTATACATGGTCTGTGTATTCTTTAGATAAATATTCAATCTTCCTCTCTATATTAAAAATAAATGAACCATAAAAATGTCAGACAGCAAAATAACCACTGGAACATGTTCCTTCTGACTGAATTTCTGCTTAACATATACCAGCTCAATTCTTTTTATTTAACAGAACAGACCCTTTATAGCTATTTGATCATTTCAGGTCAACAACTAGTGCATATCCAGACTGAGTGCAAACAGTCGATTCAGATAGCACAAGGCCTGAATTGCTCATGCAGCTAAATGTACAATCCGTATTGCTAACTCTTGGGATGGCGTCACTCAACAAGGATATAATCAAGTGATTTAAAAAAAAAATAAAAAGAGCTTATTTTAATTGCTATAGTATCTAATAAAGCCATGTCATTAACAAATATACTGATACCTCTATGATAAATAAACTAGCAAATTGCAAGCCACCAGTGCTTGCCAAGCAAAGGATGAATAAATTTAATATGCATGATAACTTTAAGATATGGAGTTGAGGGGCAGATAAGAAAAAAAATGCACAAAGTTGGGTTAAATAGTACTATGGATTTCTCAAACTATTTCTATTACTTTGAAATACTTTACACCAGAGCTTCAAATAAAAATATGAGCTCAAAACTTCTTCAGAGAATACACTATCCTTCATTAAATGTTCCATTGAGCCTGAAAGTTGCTTGCTTTGAATTTACTATTGGAACAAAAACAAAAGTCCCACATACATGCATTCTTCACTAGTAGACCTGCAGTAGTTTCCACATGATGCATGGAGCCTGGGAATGGGGTCTCCTCATGGAGCCTTCTGGAACTCTCCTTGTGGTGTGGATTTTAGGCTAAGGGATGCTTCTTAGGAAGATGTTCCTGGGCAGTGATCTTTGCAGTATGAGAGTCTGATGGAGCTTGAAAGGCCATGCAGTTCCTGAAGGCCTGGCAGGAACAATCACAGAGGAGTATCAAACTCCTTTCCTGGGTTGTCTCCTTCCACTTCCTCACTGGAGGGAGTCTTGTGATTCACTTTCCCAGGGTCCAAGGCCCAAGAAGCAGGGGCAGAGCCATGATTGCTGTCTTCACTGATCTTCCCTTTCATAGCTTCCTGCACGAACTCCAAAATCTCCAGGGGCAATCTCTTGAACTTGTCTTGGTATTCTTGTTCCAGTTCCATCTGCAGCTAGGGGACATCAAGAGAAGAGAATGAATTTTCTACCCTGTCATGTAGAGACTGTTTGAAAGAAATTTATGAAGGATGGGGCAGGGAGAGAATAAATTAATTTTAAAATATCACTCATTGGTAGTAAGCTATAAAGATGAAAACTCAGAAATAAGTTCAACATGTCATTTGTCCACAGCTGAAAGTCAAATTCCTGTTATATGTGCCATAATAGGGCTAAAGAGTTGGACTAAGGTTTCAAAATACATTTACAAACACCTACTTACACTTGCACATTTGAAAAGGTTTGCAAAAGTAATATATAATGACCTGAAGTTCTTCCACTCAGTGACTGAAATCTACTGAAGGTCAAGCATGAGTCAAGCTGGAGTGAACAGATTGGGCAAGTGGGCATAAGGACTGCAGTTTAGCCAGAGGCTGGGAAGCCAATGCTGACTGCTTATTTTATTTTACATTTTGTTATTTGCCCTGTTGGGAATGAATCCAGGTTTTTGGTCATCCTGAGCACACACTCTACTACTGAGCTGCATCCCCCAGCCCATCAGTGCTTTTAAAGAACACCCCGCTGTATTTTTACTGAGTGAACACATTCATTTAACTGTTAGTTTTTATTTTTACTTCTTTTTATCACTTCCTTATTTTGATTATTTTTACTGTAATTTTTATTTGCCTTTTGAACTGCTTTGGCTACCTTGTAAATGTATCTGTTCTCTGGAGTATTTTCAGAAATTTTAATGTCAGAGAAATTCCACTTCTTGTGCCAATTCACATGGCAGCTGTAGTTTTAAAGCTGCTATAAATGTGGGGACTCCTGGGTAGAAGTGGAGTGCAAGTGGGGGACAGCAGGGAGAGCCACCAGCTGGGAATCTACTCTTCTGGGCTGATCCAGATGAAAACCCAGAGTTTTAACTACAATTCCCTGTACTTACTGAATACTAAGTAAGGAGCTTAGAATCAGCTACATTGTGGATTCTGAAAAATAGCAGACCTAAAGTATCTCAGATAATAGGTTCTAGATCTTCTTCGGATGATTTTTTTCTTGCAAGGGAATTATGACTATACCATACTACCATCCAAAATAGGCCAAGGAGGAAATGTGGTGGGAGATGAACTCAGAGCCCTTAGATGCTCAGAATTACAAGGGTGCAAGGTGAACACGATCACATCCTTGGTGTTCAGCTCCTCCAGATCACTGGAGAATCAAAAACAAGAAGACCTCTGCCAGTGTTTTCCCTGCTGTCCCAACTATTTAGAAGAGGTGGAGCTTTCACAATGTCTCTCTTTTGACACGGGTGAAATCACAACCTGGGGTTTAACAGCTAACACAATCCAGGGCATTTCATCAGTTTGCCTCAATTTTAATTTAGCAACACAAGCAAGCAGTTTCACTTTATTTTATTTTTTTTTAATTTTTTATTTATGTGTGTGTGTGTGTGTGTGTGTGTGTGTGTGTGTGGCCAGCTCAGCCCACCAGGGGGCAGGCTGGCTGGCATGTGGTGCTGGGGGATTGAACCACGGTCCCCGTGCATTGCTAAGCTTGTTCTAAGTAGGTGCTTTAGACCACTGAACCATCTCACCAGCCCAGCAGTTTCACTTTAAAGGAAGGTAGAGCAAGGGGGAAAAGCAGGGGACTCAGTTGTAAGGATAGATGGCTAATTTCATTTAGGTGGAACTAGGAGTTCTTTCCCCATGGGTATGTTGTCCTTGGCCTGCAATTTCACCTGGATAATGAATACAAGAAGAAGCCATGGTGCTTGACCACTGCTGCTTTCTTATTTATTAAAAAAAATCGAAAATGTAAGAAAAATGTCAAAAACCATACCAAAACTTTTTACTAATTTAAATAATTTAGTTCTCATAAAAATTTAATTTGGGGAACTCAATAATTACTTTCAACAATTTATAAGCATTGGATCAATAGTGGCCAAATTATAACTTTATTGGACTCTTTTTTTTTATCATGAGGCAGTAGATTTTATTGTGTTCTTAACTAGGTCACTGCTTCATGGTTTATATAATGTGCCACAGATTCCGTTCTTTTTGAAAGGTCTTCTAGCTATTAAAAGCTTACTTCAAAATTATATTTACTCTTTAATTTCAAATTATGTTAGAGTTTTTTCTATTTCTTTTTTTTCTTCCTATCAACTGAACACTTGTTCATTGTGAGAAAGTGTGAAAAGCCTGCAGGGCCATGCCTGGGTCCCTTCTAAGAAAGCCCCTCCAGCCCACAGATGGCAAGATCACTTTCCAGGGGCCAAGAGAGTCAGGAAAGTAAGAGGCTGTGTCCCAGGACGTGGGAGTGGAGGGACAGAGGAACTAGAAAGGATCGTTCCTGCCTAGCAGGAACACTAAATATATACGGGGTTGGGAGGATGACTATTTTTATTTTTCTGTTTCTGTTATGTTTATGGTAATATGATTATTTTACTAATAGCATAAATCCAGCATTCTAAATTGAAACCAAAATGGAACACATCTTTAAAAATTAATTAATTAATTTGGTACAGAGTCTCACTATGCAACTGAGACTCATAGTGAACCTTCTGTCTCAACCTTCCCAGTCTTGTGATTACAGGTGTGCACCGCCATACCGTTTTCCAGAAGCAGGCCCAGTGGTGCACCTAGGTTCCAGGGCTGGCATGGCGTGTGGTACTGGGGATTGAACCTGTGTCCTTTTGATTATTTGGTAGGTAGGTGTTAGACTGCTGAACTACCTCTCCAGTCCCTTGAACACACTTTAAAAGGCATAAAAATGCAGAACTCTGAATGTGGGATATAGTGACCAAGAAAACTGCATGGAGAATCATCGCAGAATGACAGAATTTTAACGGCAATATAATGAGTCAAGTAGGAAGATACTAGAAACAATGATAAAAGCTTTTACAAAATACAAGCATAAAATGATGGGCTTCAAAGCCTGAACAGCTTTGTGAGGCTCAATCTTATTTTTAGAATAAACTCATGAAATTTTATTTCTACCAAGATTAAAAATAGCAGGATTGTATGAGAAATACAGGCCGAGGTCAGGCGGGTTACCCAAGGATTGTTGGAAAGTGCCATGAAGGAAAATTAAGCTACATTCTATATCCCAAATCATTCCTGTTTTTGTTTATTTGTGTTTCTCTGAGTTTTCTTTGAATCGATTGTGATGCAGACACTGGGTTAATATGGCTGACTGAGAAATTCCTCTTGTATCCCAAATGCAGAGAAACACTAAATGAAACAGAACACATACATCTACTTGCATTTATAACTGAGGAACTTAAAAATAATAGAGGACTTTGAAGGGATGTGGCTCCCAGGGTAGCGGAGTGGATTTTCTATTGCTCTGGGCTAGATTTTAATATTCCAAGAGGATGGGAGGGCGCTATCAGCACATGTGCTGGCTGAGGGCTGACACTGAAGTCCAAGGGCAGAGTCAGGGTTCCCTACTCTTGAAATGAAGATTAGGAAAACTCGGTGCATTCATCTGGGGAAGAACAAGGAAGTTAAAACACTCATGGGGCCAGTTAGAGGAAAGATGTCCACGAAGGGAATCAGAAACCCAAACCAACACTGAGTACAGTTTTGAAATTTGCATTGCCCCAGTGAACTGATCAGCTGATGTCAACAAACAAAAATGGTTCAAAAATTAATAAAACCCGTAGAGTCATAGCAGAGGTGCGGCCAACTCAGTTTGGATTCCTCCATGACTCAGGGTGGGAGTGGCACCATAGAAAAACAACTGGAGCCCAAGATGACAAGCCACTCAAGGACAATGTGGTTCTGTTTAATCCTGTAATTCAAGATTACCAGTGGCAGCTGGAATGTAAAGAAAAGGAGTAATAGGCTGATCATTGTGTTTTAAAATCAAAGTGGGAAATATTCCAGACCAAAAAGAAATAAATTAGGTAGGTCATGCCACTGTGGGAGAATACAGTGAATTCACAGTTAACACAGACCCAGGCCAACTTTCTACCATTCACTGAGGCTTGCATTTTATCAAACATGACATTGGGCAGCTTATCTAGTCTCTTGGCATTTCAATGCTCTCAAATTAAGAAATGGGGCTACTAATACTAATTTTCCCAGGAAGTTGTTAAGAGAAATGTTCTGTGTTAGTTTGCTTGTTTTTTAGTGATGGGGATCAAGCCTAGGGATACACATATGTTATACAAGAACTCTAACTTCTGAGCTACACTACCACCCTGCCCCATCAAAGGTTAAACTAAGTCACATATGTTAAATGCTTAATATATGATTAATGCTTGTTAATAAATATTGCACAAGTGTACTTGGCAGGAGAGAAAAAAGGATGCAGACATGTATCAAAGGATCAATAGACTAGACTTCTAGTATTTTTAATACTCGTCTTCTGATATCTTTAATACTCAGATTTGGATTCAAAACATTCACTGGAAGCTACCAGGTAAAGGGGAGGGTAAAAGCTACTAAGAATTCAGGAAAAGACAGCTCAAGAGACAAGGACAAGGTGAGCAAAATGTTAAGCGGACCCAAATATTGAGTCAACAAGAGAGGAGACACAAGCTAGAAATTGTGTGACTGACCAAGCACTGTTCCCAATATGAATGCGCATCTTAGATTTATTTTACTTCTGAAGCCAAATACTTTCTGACACAGCTCTTATGTATAAACTCCTTTATATATCATACACTATATGACACTACCTTAGCAGAAATTTGCTTCTAAATCAATGAACAACAGTCAAATTTATGTGACTGTCCCCCTAGCTCTTCATCCCCATTTTTCCTTCTGCATTCCTTCCCAAAGATACCTCTCCCAAAAGGTTACAGTTTCCTAATATAGACCATAATTCATATTTCTGTCCTCAAATATATTTCAAATTTGCTTCTGTAATCATCTCACAGGCATCTAGAGATTACTTTGAAAACCTTGGAAAGGAATGCTAGCAATTACCTAACCAAATCCTCCAGGACTTTGAAGCCTTGAAGAGGGACTTTTGCAATTATATAGTCAATTTTTTTTACTCTGTAGAAACC